CATTTTACACTTGAAATGATTAATTGTTGAAGTTAGTTGTAACTTTAGATTCTTCTCTCATACTTCTCACTTTTGGAACTCACTTTAAGCTTCTTGCTTCCCAATCAACTTTGATTTTCAAAAATTTAAATGTTATGCAAGTTGTTATCTTCTAAATTCTTGTTCTTTTATTATTTTCTCTCCTTAATAATTTTTGTCATTTTCTCTCACATTCAATAATGTCTTGTGTGTCTATGGTTTTATTGCCTTGCTTGGGCCGAAATGAGTATAAAAAAACTTGTAAGCAATTAAGAAATGCTGATCTTTAATAATTAGCCAAAAATATCCTACTAATCTATATAATAAATGCGAATGTCAGTGTGTCACTGTGTCATGCTTTTTCAACTTTATTCCTAGAGGCCATGGCCCAACATATCATACCATTTTGGGTCAGATCCACACCTGCAATCCTGAAATTTTGGATTCCCAAGTTTTCATTATTACGATTGTTTTCAGATTACACCATCTTGGCTTCTACTGATAAAACAATTAAAGCGACACAACTCTAACTTTCACTAGTCATCTTCAAATGAAAAAAATTACTGTTCTCAAATTGCAGTTTTTCAAAATAAAATTGTCTGTTTTCAACTTTAATCCTAGAGGTCATAACCCAATATATACCATTTTGGAATCAGGCCAACTGTGAATAAATTAAAAAATTTCAGGATGGATCCAGACCTGCAATCCTAAAGTTTTGGATTCCCAAGTTTTCATTACTGCAATTGTTTTTGGCAACTTTTTACGTGATATTTTGCGACAAATTTTTTGTATGATAATAATTTTTATAACTTGAAAAAAAAATTTGCCAATAATCAAAATTAATTGCAAAACACAGCAAAAGTCACCCATGAAATAAAAACAACTGTTTGTATGGAAAATAAGGACCTATAAACATCAAGTTGTCTTTAAATATAGTAGCAGCAGAAGAATTATCATAGAACTTTTAAAAGGTAAGCTTAAATATTAATGCAATACTTAAATGCAGTGGTCAATTTTGAGTTCTTTTGTAGCCTGTTGTTGCTTATCACATTTACTTATTGTGATGAAGGCTCAATCAAGTGCCTTCTGGAGGAGCTAGCTTAAATGCCACCCAATAGTGCAGCTTTTAAACTAGCATTTAATATATTCTATGTACTTTTCATTTAAATTTTGTTTTTAGCAGCTTAGCTTAGTAATTTTGTGACTTTTATTTGATAAATAATGGCAACTGTCCAAATTAGCCTCATTTTATCATGCCTAACTAAAAAAGAGAGAGAAAATGATAACATTTGAAAGGAAATTAATAAAACATTGTTATTGTTATCAAAAAACTTATTTATGTACAATAAATACACTAAGAAATTTGCTGAATTCAAAACTGTCCATGTAATGCTGAAGAATATTATTCACCCTAGAGACATATTTCAGTGGTTAATGTGTGTTTTAGAATAAAATAGTCAAATGTAATGTTAAATATTCAATTAATTTGATGTATTAAAGTTTCTTTTGTCTTATGTAGTGTGTAGATATTGGAAGTGATAAATACATTGTTACTAGTGTTTTATATGAATGCAGGTTTTGTGTTGAGTCATAAGTTTTTTGTGAACCTTGGACACTGCTGTCTTTCATTGCATTCTTTCATCCTCTAATGTAAACTCAGTGAAAAAGTTTTTCAACACTGACAAATTGCATTTACATTGGTTAAAAAATGTGATCTGCAATGTCATTGGCTTGTGAATTTGGTGGCATAATGGTTGTGAATTCAATCCCTGGGTTGAGTAAAGTGTACTTGTCTGAGAACAGGTGAGCAATAACTGAACAGAACTAAATAAAAAGTTCAGAACTAGATGATATCTCTAGATATGAGCAGTGAAACGAGAGCAGTCTACCCCTGTAGATTATGTAAAGGGTTCAGTTCAGAATTCCCTGTAGGTTACCCAGATCAATATAAACCTGAGGAAGGTCAGAGGTACAACAGCTGAAACGTTGTGATAAAAACAACAAAGATGAGGACAATAGTTTGAATATAAATAGTTTAAATATGGATTTCTTTCCATTTGTAATTCAAAAAATGACTGTGTCCACTTTTGGTTGTTACTAGTTTAATCCTATCAATGTTCTTAAAAAAATTGGCCTTATGCCATAGTCTAGAATAAGTTTATTATTTCTTTCAGCAAGTTTCATTGTTTTGTTTTTTTGTTCCAATAGATACATTATCCTTTTTAAAATGTATAGCACCTAAATATATCATTACCATCAGTAAACAGAAAATAGTGAAACTTGCATTATTCAAGAGGAAGAAAAAGCAGTTAGCTAATTGAAGATATTTCACCTTTTCAAGATACTAAATAGGTAAACCGAAAGAGTTTTGCATTGTGGCTGTTAATCTGCAGACCTATAAAAGATAGACCAGACAGACATATTTGAGGAGGGAGCAATGTTTTTGGGACACATGACTTATTTTCAATCAGCTTTTCCAGGAAGCAGGCTTGTCAATTTCAACATCAAAGACTTGTGTTAATAAAAAAGCAAAAGTTTCTTCCCTTTGTGCTAATAAAAGAAAAAAATCAATCAATAAATCCTGATAGGCCTAAATGTTAATGGCTAAGAAAAAGAATAAAAAAAATCATTGCTTTTCCTTGCAAATTTATATGATTGGATCCGGTCAAGGTTGAAGATTGGACCAAGAGTGTTTTGTTGTTACAATCATTATACCTATACAAGAGTGGTTTGTTGCATGGATGATTTTGTTCATATTTCCCTATTTAAACATATTAGAACCAGAATATTATCAATGGAAATGCTTTTTACCTTTTACTGTCTAGTGATAGTAGTACAAGTAGGAAATAAAGGGCTAAGAAATATATATATATATATATATATATATATATATATAAAATGCTGCCAAGATTTTAAATAAGTATGACCATCACTGGCTTGGAAATGTCTCTTCAAACCTGCAAGTAACTGGCAGTAGTCATTGAACATGTGGAAAACTAAGTCGTTTTGTACAGGTCCTGGCCTGTTTTGTAATGTTTGTTCAGCTTTCTCATAGGTTTTTATGTGGTAGTCAGACCAGAGGGATTTTTGCAGATTTTCTGACACACCTTGCATTTTAAGTGATTTCCAGCATTGTACTAGAAATCTATTTTTATGGCTGACTAGGTAAAGGATAAAAAATCATTGCTTATCCTGAGGAAATTATATATATATATATATTTCTTTAATTAGCTAGATTATATACAAAAAAAAAAATTAAATTTAAAATTCTCAGCATCTCTTGTTCATACACATTTAACAAATTTAGTAAAGGATGAAGTCCTAAAGTATGAAACATGAAAAAATTTTTTCCACTTTGTAATACCTGAGCACCCAATGGAATAAATCATGCTGTCCAACACACTTATATGCATACATATCTTCATACATACATATAAGTACATTTAGATGTCCATACATATATGCCACTTTACATACACATACACCTCGACATATATGCACATGTATTCTTATGTAATTTGGATTTTTTTTCTATGTTTACATTTTGTGATTATTTCCTTCCATTGATTTAATAGTTTGCATTGATCTTTATATTTTATTATCCTGATTTTTTCTTCTAGACATAGCTTGCACCTACCCCTAAAACTATATTGGAAACCAAGAATTTTCCAATTTATTTGAGGATTCAGATCCATTTCCTTCAATTCCCAAAAAGGGCTGTTTGGTGTTTTAATTTTGGATTGGTGAATGAATGTCTGTGTGTATTTGTTTCTCTTTTTAAATTCTCCCGCAGAAATGCCAATGTAAATATTATGGTTTGTTGTATTTTCTTTAGGGTTAATGGTTGCCTGGTATACTACCCTAGTGGATCTGCACTTGCTCTCTACTGGGCAGTTTTCCTTAATATATATATATATATATATATATATATATATGTTTCATTAAATAATATGGACAAGTGTTGTCTATTTATTTTATGTAAATTCTTTCATGGTGTCTGATAAGCTTAATAACATTATCATTAAACAAAGAAAAAAAATCACAATATTGATACATATTTTTTAATCCAATCTAAGCTTCTGGCTTACATAAGCCATTATCAAAGATGATAATTACAGTACAATATATTAAGCAATACACAGACAAGGATATGATGATAGTCTGTTTCTGTTTATATGGATGATTTCCAAGCAACGATAAACATGTGCATATAAGACACTGGAAGAGAAAATTGCACCACAGCTCATGACGTCACACATGACCATGCAAGAGTGAATTTGAGAAGCCTTAAGTATGGGAAGCCGTTGGTATAAACCAATGGCTTTTGTTACCAATTATAGACATTTAAATACACACCATATATATATATATATATATATATATATATATAATGTTCGATCTATGATTGATAATTTGACAATCAATCTGATTAATATAACTTGTGCATTGATAAGGAAGGTTTGATTTGATTGATTTGTTTTTATGGCTTATTAATCTTTGATTGACATTGCTTAACTTTGGTGATCATATGTGAAATATTGCTTTAACATAATTTGGTGGTAAGCCTTAATATGGAAGGGGATTATGCTTAAAAATAAATATTTGTTATGGAAAATACATGCTTTTTCATTATGAGGCTGCAGGATGATGTGTGTGTGTGTGTGTGCATGTATGTATTGTATAACAAAGCTATGATTGTACATTTTTCCTATTAAAACAATTGTATTGTATTCAAGTATTCCTCCCCAGGTGAAGTCATTGATCACCAGCTTTGTAAGAAAGAACTGATTTTATTGATACTTAACCTCACCATAAAACCTCAAGCCTAACTCTTATAAAAAGACAAAAGAATAAGTATATTGGCAACACCATCACATTCCAAAACATTTTAATGCATTCTCTTTCAATAATCATAACATTGTAAAACCATAAACACACAAAAACAAGAAGATTAAATTAAGAAAGGTTTTTATAATTCTTACCGTTTCATTGTTGTGGATGAACAAAGTTCTCTCAATAAAGTCCTCCTTTATTTGGACCTCGCTGTTGTGGACGGTGATATGTCCAAATTCGTCATCTCCATTGTCCTTCCAGTATCTACAGCAGGTCTGTAACACAAGCTACAAGGGTTATTAAGTATACAAGACTGTATATTATGTTGCACAAGACAACAAATAGAAAAACCTTAAGCCCTAAGTGTGAATTAGGGACATTGGCATGGAGGAGATATTATAATGTGTATGTGTGTGTGTGTGCATGTGCATATATGTATACACACACACACACACAGAGGTAAAAATCTGTGGGTAAATAATCCAAGTGAGTCCTAATAATATAAAATATTAAAACTGATCCACAAAGAGAGCTCAATGTATTTATTACAGAGCATATATAAATAAATTACATATAATAGAAATTCAAAGATATCCCATATGAATAGCCATTTCACCCTGCAAGAATTAACCTTACGAGGTCTGTCAACACCAAAAGGTTTGGATATAAAATAAAATAAAATTACATAAAGTGTTTTGCTCCTTCATAATATTTACTTGCCCTGTATAACTTTTCCAAGAACTTTTTGACATATGTCTATTTTGTGGTATGCTATTTTTCTGGCCTATCAACAGGCTGCTTTATATATATATATATATATATATATATATATATATATATATATATATGATATAAAGACAAAAGTAAAACTTATCTTAGCTGACATATTTTGGACTTTGTCAAGGCAAATGAATGTAAGAATTTTATTTTGTAACAATCATTTATATACAAGAGCAAAAATGTTATTGGTTTTTGGAATTGGGATTTATTTATATTTTATATGTTTAGAATGACATGTTTTGAATAACACATCAACAGTATGTATGTTTATTTGTATGATGCATGGGAAGTGTCACTCTAACTTTTGGAAAATAGATATAGAAACATATATTTATTAAAGATATAAATTATGTTCTGACATTATATTATTCTATTAGTATTTTTTTTGTAAAATGTAATTACTCTGGCCCACTTGAATAAAACATTTTGAAAGCAATAATTATTATATAAGACAATTACACTATTTAAGAAATAGAAAAGGTGAGTTTGAAATGCTATTGCTGTCATGTGAAAAATAATGACTCCAAGTTTGTGTGATAGGAGAACTAACCAAGCTTGTTACACATATACAACTCAGTTTGGTTTCTCGTTGTTGGTTTTAATTTGGTATGATACATGGCACAGATGAATTGAATTTTGCATCTCTTTTATGGAAAGACTGAAGTTTTTAAACAGTTTTCAATATGTGAAAAAACTTTTGTTAGAGAACTTTACTTTTAATCTTATTATGAGAACATCAAGCAAACACCATCTTTATGATGAGCAAGGACACAAGAACAATATATCACAGATAAAAACAAAAACTAGGGTACTAATTGCCTGTTTAGCAACATATAAAAGTGAGCTGAAACCTTCATAGTCTGACTATGAAGGAATGATGCTAGAGCTGTGAAATCTTGCATGTTTTAATTTCAACTATTTATTAATAACTGTATTGTTACTTTCCAGTTAAACTGACATCTGACCATTCAAAAGCAACTAGTAGTGATTTCTCTTGAGAATGGCCAAAATTTGGCATCATGGTGTTATCAAGTACCTACAGAAAAAGGGTTAGAACATTTATGCTGACATGGTTGCTATGTTAGGGGATGACACTCCAGGTTTATCAACAGCGCAAAAGTAGGCAGCTGAATTTAATAGAGGAAGAGATAGTCATGAAGGTGACCCAAGTGCTGGACATCATGCAATTGCCAACACTGAGGAAAACATTGATCATATTCACCACATGATGGATAACAGATGATTGACTATAAATCAAATAGCCAATGTATATCTCATGAGAGAGTTGAGAATATTCTACAAAATAAACTTGGCATGATGAAGGTCTCTGCTCAGTTGATGCCACATCTTCTGACACCTGATCAAAAGTGCATCTGCCTGATTGCATCACCCGAAAATCTGACATTTGTTTGAGGCAGATCCAGCTGGTTTTCTTGAACACTTCATAACCGAGGATTAAGTTGATCACTTTGAACCAGGTACAAAGAGACAACCCATGCAGTGGAAAAATCCCTCCTCACCTGGTCCAAAGAAAGCATTGTGTTTATTGACTATCTTCAAAAGGGCCACATTATCAAGTACTATGCCAATTTTCTCAGGCTATCAAGATCAAATACTCAGCAAAACTTATGAAAGGGGGTTTTGTTTCATCAGGACAATGCTCCAGCATACAGGTCCTTAGTTTCAATTGCTGCTGTGCATAACTGTAGCTTTAAACTGGTTGATCACTCTCCCTTCTCTTCTGACTTGACTTTCATCTGTTCCCCAACACGAATAAACAATTGGCTGGGAACTAGTATCACAGTGATGCTGATGTCATATCTCCTGTTGGTGATGTTTTTAATCAACAGGGTGAACAGTCTTTGAACAGTCAGATATCAGTTTACCTGAAAAGAAACAATGCAGTTATTAATAAGAGATGAAATACATGCAAGATTTCACAGCTGTAGCATCATTCCTTCATAGTCAGAATATGAACTTTTCAGACCACCCTTGTATTGAATTGAATTAAACATGATGATACACTATTAGAAACACCGTTACAATAAAATTTAGTTTAAAAGAAATCAGCATTCAAACTGCATTGTTGATTTTAAATTCATATTAAAATAGATTCTACTGAATACAAAAGAAGTCATGTTTTGAACACATCTCCCTAAGGTTTAACAAAGAGCATGATGAAAGAAAGAGTAGTAGTAATTTGATGATTTCTATTTTCATTCAACTTTAACATTTAAATTTAACATTTTAATCTTATTTAAATTGCTAGTTTAGATAACATGAAAGACAAAATGTAGCAAATATACTTGAATGTTTACATTTATTTTTCCTTTTTTCATTGGTTGCTTTTTTTGTTTTATGGCATATCAACCTCAGTGGGTCATTTAATGCCAACAAAATTTTTGAAACAGATACATAGCGATAGTTTGGTAAAAACGGTGTATATGTATACATATATATTTGAACCATTTTTCAGTTACTCATATTTTTGAGTACAATCACATTTATTGCTGGTATTTTTTTTTCAAAAACATATTGCTGGTAATATTTTTTTCAAAAATTAATTTCTGGTATTAAAACCTAATTTTACACTTTTATAATGCTTTTTACCTCAGTTTCTGGGTTAACTATTTACCCATAGCTGGGACTCTAACAGGTGCTACCACCCTGGGTCAGGGTGAACCTGGGAACACCAGCAATTAAGAGGTGGTTCCAAACTCCTCAAAACTTCCTTATCAGAGGCCTTGCTGTTGTTTGTAGTTTATTGTCTTACCCTGGATGCAGATATAGTTTATCATCATACCCAAGATACCCCATTGGGGGGGGGTCTTACCCCTCTGCAGAGGTGCAGTCAGCGTATTCTACAGCCCCAGCCGACAAGACAGATTTTTCTTTTGGCTTGATTCAAATTGAAATATAATAGATGTTAACTTTGATTTTTATTTACATATGATCATCAGGAATCACAGAGGATTCTAGGCAAATGGAATATTCCATTATTAAAATTGCAGGGATATTTAACATCCATCAATCTGTGTACCAAGAAGAATACCTGATGAAAAGACAGGGCAGTGGCCAACCATACATTCATTAGGATCCATGGAATATGCAAGCAGAAAATTCATCAGGTACATTGTTAACCCCATGACACTGGATGCACCACCTCACTTGTCATCATACCATTGGTAAATGGATCATGAAGGATTTACAACATGGTCTGATGACTCATAGTTCCAGTAGTTTTGGACTTCTGGTAGGGTTCAGTTGTAACACAGACTTTATGAGACCATGAAATCCAGTTGTTAACAAAACACCATCCAGGCTGGTTGTTGTCCTGTAATGGTGTGGGGTGTACTCATGTGGCATAGGTTGCGTTAATGGTTTGCTTAAACATACCACAGACAAGTCATTTTAAACCCATTCACAGACTACATGACTCTCAAAATGATAAGTTATTCCAGCAAGATAATGCGTCTTGTCATTAGGTTCAAGTTGCCCAGAATTGGTTTGTGGACTAATCTGGAGATTTCAATGAATAATAGTATGGTCACCATTTTCACCCAACACAAACCCTATCAATATTTTATGGTACATGGTGAAGAATTTCATTGTGCTCAAACACAGTATCAGTGAACTGTTAGCAGCTATGAAGAATCGTTCTTACTGCTTGTGGAATCTTCAATGTCGACTTGCTGTACTTTACTGGGTGACAGTGTATTCTACAGGATACAAGGCAAAGAGAACCAATCTTATAACTTTTAGTATGTTAGTATATGAAAAATGTGTTTTTTTTCTAAAAACAGCATTTATAATTCACAGTTCATCACCCAAAGTAAAAATGAATTTATAATCTCTTCAGTCTTTTAATATTCATATTTTACAGACAACTCTGTTCATATGTCTGTGCCTTTTTGGTGGTTTTTCAGACTGTTATATATATATATATATATATATATATATATATATATGTGTGTGTGTGTGTGTGTGTGTGTTTGTATGTATTATTCATGCCAAAGTTTTCTCAAATAAAACTCTTCTTCATGACTTATGCATCTTTTACTAAATTTATGCAAATGTCCTCAAAGAACTGAGCAATCCTGTAGACTTTTTCTTCATCATTGTTACATGAAAGTATATTTCATTCACAAATCTTCATTGTTTTATGTTCAGAGTAAACTAATGACTTCCACATACTGCACTTTTGAAGTACAAAAATACATTCTAATGGTTAATGGTCTCAGTTTACTACAGATCCAAAAATTCACTCAACAACAACACGATCAAATATAAACAAGCAATTAGAAGATCAAAGAAATGAACAGGACATATAAAGCATCAAAGAAAGTCTCAGTAAGAAATTAATATCTAAATCTAAATCTAATATTAGGAAGCAGACAAGCAAGAAAATGGTACCAAAGAAAATGCCTTTCAGGTAAGCAGTTCTTTGATCAGGTATTTGTTAGGATCAGTAGCAAAATGGTAACAAAGATTTTAGCAAACATTATTT